ACACTGGAAGTCTTTAAGAAGATGTTGGCTAGCCATTTGTCTGGAACAGTATAGGGTTTCTTGCCTAGGCAGGGGGTTGGACTAGAAGACCTCCAAGGTCCCTTCCAACTCTCCTATTGCATTTTTACTCTGGGGGAACCCTTAAAGTAATTTTTAAGTCTCAGGGAACCTCTGCATAAAAACAGCAAAAAAAATGTGAGGGGAAGGACACCTAGCACTGTTGATATTACCTAGTTGGGTAATGAAACATCTGGGGGGGAGGAACCCCAACCAAACTCAATGAGAACCAAAGACCCTACAGTTCAACCCTGAGCTACAGATCCTCTTGCAACAGAATATACTCCATTCCTTCTGGTGGTGAAAAAAGTCACACTTTAATGGAATTCTGTTAATATGATTCAAGATGTTCTTCAAATAGATAAGATTTTGCATAGCTCTTGACAAAGCCAGCTTTAGTTTGATCCTGCTTGGACGGCTGTAATTTCCTGGCAGGGTTGAGATAAACTACGTCATGAAGCTGGAATGGCTAGTTTTCCCAAGAGTTGAGAACATGATAGCAAGGAAGGTCACGGGAAAGGTGGGGCTGATTTGGGAGTTGTTTGGTGGAAGGGAACAGAGAGACTCTGGGGAAAAATCAACAATTCTGCTGTCAAGAATTCAAACAGCAATGTGAGAGTCTCTTGTAAAATGTCCCTTCTGATCATGATAGGAAAACATCAGAATTCTTTGCATCTGGGCTTGAAAATCAGCATGGCCCCTAATTAGTTGGCCCATTAGCCTTTGCTCAGGTCAGAATCTGCCTTCCGTGTCAATGGTTTTCACTACCACGTTATTTAGGTGGGGGGAGGATCTATTGCCCATCTCGCTCTCAGAGTGATACTGTAGTGTGTAAAACGTAAAAAAACATAAAAACACAATGCACAACAAGTTCAGTAAAATAGGAGCCAAAGTAAAAACACAGATACAATAAGTAAAAAATTAAAAGCTAATGGGGGTGTTTTCGGGGTCGTAATACCCCCCAGGATTGCATGCCCCTCTTCGAGCCCTGTACATAAGTTGGCATAGCCAGGACTTGACACTTTCCCAAGAGACCAAGAGAATGAAGGCCAACCCCATTTCTGAAAGGATATTTCATCAAGTAGGGGCAACAACAGAGAAGGGGCTCTTCCTGGACCCCACTGTTGTGGCTTGCCAGCAGAGCTGGCAGCAGAGTCGGACAGTGAGGAGGTTGGGGAGGAGCATGGGCCAGTCCTGGAGGCTAGGGAAGACTCAGAGGGCTCCGTGTCGGAGGCAGAGGTGGGGCCAAGGCCATTGGGCAGTTCTCAGCTGCCTTTGGAGCTAGGCAGCAGTAAGGCAGAGGAACAGCTAGAGCCTGTTCCCAGTGTGCGCATGCACAGAGCTGCCAGAAGAAAAGAACAGCTAAGAAATCAGGGTCAGCTTGGGAGTAAAGCCACAGGTGGATGGCGAATGGCTCCCATATGAAATAGAAGTGAAATGGGAGTGGGCTTTTTCAGGAAACCGTTATTTCGTTTCAGGAGGGTGAAAATCTGTCCGTGAATCTCAGAGACTCTGTGCCCAGTCTTTCCTTGCNCCCCCCCCCCATTCTCATCCTTCATCCCAGGCTTAAAGTCTGATCTGATCTGCTTCTCCCTTCCACAACCCTGAAGCGATTCCCTCAATTACTCCAGGGAGGGACAGAGGGCTGGATTCTCATGAGAAGGTCCCTGATTTTTCAGCTGACAAGCAAGTGAACTCCTCACTGTTCCAGAGTTTCTCATCCTCCAAATTAAGTTTAGGGTTTCGTTTCAAGGATGGGCTGAAAGGGGCGCTTGGCTCTTGGCACAGGAGATAAGCAGATGGAACAGAGGCGGGAGACATGGCAGCCGAAACAGATGCTGCTTCTTCAGGTGATGAGGAATGCTGAGAAACAGTCAAGTGAAAAGAATTGTTCTTGGTTGCTCTTGTGGTGCTTCGTCCTCCTGTGTTCTGTTGGAGGATTCGTGGATTAACTCTGTAATCCACTTGCACCTAGGTGGGTTAAAGAAAGAAGTGCCTGCGCTATGGCCATTGCACATCCCATGGAGAACGGCTTCTTATTAGGGCTTGATGCTCTTGGATTTTGAAGAAGATCACTGTGTCTTCCTTGAAGAAAAAAGCAAACTCTTAGCAGGGAGAAGGCAAAGCTCATCCACTCCTGTGTTGTTTCAGTCTTTTTCCCAGATGAGAATGAAGGTCAAGTGGATCAGGACAGAACAAACTCAAGGAAGTTTGTGGAGATGCTCAGTCATAGGTAGTTGCCCTAAAGGTGCTTTTTCCAACAGTCAACTGGGTTTGCTTGTTTTTTTTTTTCCTTTGAAAACATTTCACTTCTCATTCAAAAAGCTTTTTCAGATTAGAACCAAAGAAGCTTCTTGGATGAAAAGTGAAATGTTTTCAAAGAAAAAAAAAGCAAGAAAATCCAATTGCCTTTTGGAAAATGTATCTTTCGGAGGTGACACAAGGAAGAACAGCATCCTAAAATCAGCAAAGAGATAGGAAATAACTGGTTACACTGTTACTAAAAGGCTCCAGGATCAGACCTTTTATATCCAAGGGTTTTGGAAGAGTTTGTAGATGTCGTTTTGGAGTCACTTTCAGCAATCTATGAAGGAAATGCAAATGTTCCTAATTTCCGAAAAGGGAGAAAGGAAGAGCCAGGTAACTACTTGGTACTGATTCCAGGTAGAATTCCAGAGCAGATTCTTAAATAGTTAATTTTATGAGCATCTAGAACAGGTGTCCCCAATCACTTGGCTGTGGCCCACTACCTGGCCATGGCCTATTCGGAATTGGGCCATGCAAATGGCTGGCTGGAGTGTGTATGTGCATGTCAGAGGTGGGTTTCTGCCGGCTCAACCCAGATTGGGTGAACCAGTAGTGGTGGCGGTGGGAGACTCCACACATGCATGAAGATGTGTGGGCGCACGAGTGAACCAGTAGTAAAATAAATTGAAATCCACCGCTGGTGCATGTATATGAGCAGCTCAACTTGCACAAGTGGCAGGCAGTGGGCACTCATGCATGTGTGCCAGCCTGCTGCTTGCACAACTCTGTTCTCACCCCCAGCTGGGCCTCCAAGCCGCAAAGGTTGGGGATCACTGATTTATAATGTGGGTGAATAAATGTTGTTGTTAAGGAGGAAAATGAGTACAAGTCATCCGAACCCTACTGATTGTGTAGTCAATTTAGTTAACCTTGGAGGTGCAGTGGACAGTCTTCCTGGATCTCAGCAAGGTTTCAGTAAATTTTCTATTCTGATCTTATTTTCTATGAGATCATAATAGAGTAAGAAGCAACATGTACTGTATGGC